CCTCCTCCTTTACTCAATAAACCAAATGAGACAGGACAGGATGACCTTACTAATCCTAATGTATCCTCACACTCTCTAAATAACAATGAAAACAAAAATAAACATAATCAATAATAAATTAATAAAATTTGAAAACAAGACAAATTTACAAAATTAAGCGATACACACACAAAAGTACATACATGTATGCGTCATTTCAAAATTTCACAATCATTTTATATCAAATGACGTATAAATAGAAATGATACTATATAAGTATGTACATTTGTGGGGAATCAATATTAGTTGCAGTGAACATCCACTAATATAAAATCTGTTGTTGTGTTTTATTCTGAGCTGCTCAATGGGATTTGGCTGCTACCGTATATCTGGTAAATTTCATAGGAGAAAATTTTCAGACAGAAAAAATTCATGTATTTTTATTTTTGCACAGTGGTTCCTGTCCAAAAATTAACAACATACAAAATTTTAAAGATCTTATGAAGGATCCCACAGAGCATCTCTGCTTGAGAAGCTACCATGCTTATAAGACTGTCTGCCAACTGCTGTAGGAGACTAGGAGAGATACTTTAATTGGAAGAAACAAAGCAGCACCATTTTGTGATGATAGTGCCACGTGTCTTGACAATGCACGTGATGGTGGTATCTGCATGCAAAACTTATGCATGAATAAATTAATTTTCATGAATTTTAATTTCGCACAAAGCCATGCATCCGAAAATTAAATACAGACGAAAATTTCCAGATATACGGTAAATCACCAAATGACACCAATACATGTATACATGTACATATGTAAAATCCACCAAAAAATCTTACAAAAGAGTGTAAGAAGAAAAAAGAGAGTGAGAGAGAGAGAATGAAATACATTGTATGAAGGAGGACGAGAAAGGAGATGGGGAAGAAGGAGGGAGCACAGAAGGTTTTACATGTACATGTACAAAAGAAGGTACATGTAGAATGTAAGAGACATGAGCTAACACAATACCTTGTACACTGTAATTATTATTACCATTTCTGTCAATATTTGGAATAAAACAAAGTTGTGATATCCAGTTTAGATTGTGAGAGGATTTCAAAGCACAAATGAACTGCAAATACAAAAAAACAAATAAATAATAATCTGTAAATCCTTATTATCTACTCTTGATAATAGTAAAAATGAAAACAATAACAATAATTAATAATAATACCTCCAGTATATTAGGATCAAGTATAAATATATTGTGATATTGTCCCCAAACTGCAATCAAGGTTTCTTTAATAGCAGGACGTGCTATTGACTAAAATAATAGAAAGGGAAAGGAACAGAGAGAGGGAGGGTGGAGGTTTAAGTTGATTGTGATCAAAATTGACATGTGTATGTTGCTCAAAACAAGGTCAAAGTCACTGTACTATAACATGCTCTCAAGCCAAATGCATATGCAATGTACATGTACAGTGCATGTAGATGTTAATTCATGAATTTTGAAGTTACTCAGGCAAAGTCCCTTTACAGGGACTTTTGACAAATGTCACCAAAAATGACTAAGAGAGATTTCTTCATTTTAAATACATTTTCTGATGCATGTACATGTATTCATGTTGTGTAGAAATTTTGAGTTGATTTCAATCAAAATTGGACTTTTTTATGAATTTTAAAAGTTGCTCCAAAAGCCTTGTTGGAAAACCAATTATAAGCTTAATTTATCATTATCATTATCACTATCATTATTATTATTATTATTATTATTATTATTATTATTATTATTATTATTATTATTATTATTATTATTACATGTACAGTAATGTACATGTACCTTATGTGCACAAGTACAATGTATATGTACATGTACACATTTGTGACCAAAATTGACAAAAGGTACCTAATGGTGGATTTTTAAATACATCAATATAATGAAAAAAATCAACCTGTGAGAGTGCTCTGTTTGACAACCATTGTTTCTAAAAGTTACATAGTAACTTTTTGCATCCTCTGGAGTAATTTCATGATAAATGGAGCTTAGGAAGTTGCATTTTTAATGCTATAAAGACCAATTTTCCTATTCGCCATAAGGTACCTTTTGTCAGTTATGGTCACATTTATTACTTACATGTTATTAAGTGAAGGTTGTGCAGGAACTGATATTTTCTGTGAAGTATTAGCAGTCTCTCCTCCTCCTCCTGCCCCTCCCAGCACACTAGCATTGATCTGACAGGGAGCCACAACATGTTGTGATGACTGTACATGTAGTTTCCAATGTCTCTCAGCTTCTGCTAGTAAGTAAAATGTTGCCGCAACACTTCTGTATGGTTTGTCTTGAACACTCCTAAGAAATAGTAAAGAGTTTGGTGACAGTAGCAAAGAATGTACATGTACAAAAAAGTACATGTAAATGCATTATAATTATAAACATCATAATACATGTACAAAACCATGGGCTATAGCTTTGGGCATTTTTTAGAATTTTGGCATTTTTAAATGGCTGTAACTTGAAAAATTGAAGTCAAAATCAGCTAAAACTTTCTACACAGCATAAGAACATCATATGTATCAGAAAATGTAATGCAAATTTGGGCTAATTTTGGGATCATTTTTTGCAGAAAACCATATTCTTGGGTATTTTTCAAAAGTTAGCCATTTAAAATAATGCTCATAACTCTAAAATTATTTTTTGGAATTAGCTCAAACTTTCTACGTGGCATAAGGACATCAATATTGTATCAGAAGATGTAATAAAATTTCAGGTGATTTTGGAGCCATTGTTTGGAACAAACCATGGAATAGCCTGTGTATTTTTGAAAAATTGCCATTTCTAACAATGGCTGTTGCTTGAAAAATATTGTCGGGATCAGCTCAAACTTGCTACATAGCCTTAGTACATCAATCTGTATCTGAAAACGTAAAAATATGGGTCATTTGACTGATTTCAGGGCCATGTTTTGGAAAATACCATAGACTATAGCATAGGGTATTATTCGAAAATTAGCTGTTTTTAAAATAGCTCATAACTCAAAAAATATTTCTCAGAAAAGTATAGTTTGAGAGAGAGAGAGGAATCACTGTTAATGTATAATCATTATAAATAAATTAATAAAAATTGTTGTTATTGTTTTCAAGGAGTCGGATTATTGTTAATTTTTATATTTTAAAATTAATTATACTTTGTGAATGTCTACAATGCCACACTCCCTACTATAAAGCAATCCCAAAATATATTGTAGAGTAACTCCCAAGAAATATAGGGAGGCAAGTGAATGTACATGTACCTGTTTCTCCTTCTTTGCTTTCTCTCTCTTGTACTGTACATGTTCACTTCTCTCCTTTCTAGCACTTTATTAACATCATCCCTCTCTCTTTCTCTTTCCCTCCCTCTCCCTCTCTCTCAGGGTTATTGGTTTGGCATTGTTACATTCAGAGATGATGTCTCTTCCTTTCTGTAGACACATTTACAAGTATCTACTTAACAAGAAGGTATACCATTGATGAGTGTGTGTGTGTGTGTTTAATATCTAATTCA